TTTGGATTATTTCAAAGCAGGGGCAGACTTTTGTTCCCTTTGTAGGAATGCTATGGAACAATCCTTTCCTACACTATGAATGTGTAGTACTCTCATTGGTTAATGAAAACCTGACAGGCCAGTAGCTGGACAGGAAGTTAGGTGGGAAAGCCAAGCTGAGAATGATAGATAGGAAGGAGCAGGGCAGAGTCAGCTGCCTAGGAAGCAAGCCGTGCTAGAGGACAGGTGAAGCCACAGCCACATGGCCATACACAGACTAATAGAAATGGGTTAATTTAAATGTAAGAGTGAGCCAGTAACAAGCCTGAGCTATCAGCTGGTCAATTATAATTCATATTCAGCCTCTGAGTCAGTTATTTGGGTCGGGGCAGTCAGGACAGGAAATGTCCGTTACATAGAAACTCTTTTGAGACAAAAATGTCACATTCTTTAGAACTAAGCTTCTTTTGTTTAAAGCCAAGATCTCTAGTCCAGATTGCCCTTAAACTCCCTGTGTAGCTGAGGATGATCTTGAATTTCTGATCCTCTGCCTTCCACCTCTCAAGTGCTGGGATTACAGGCATGTGCCATCACCACACCTGATGGAACCAGGTGTTAATATATGCATCAAATCACATTATTAGAGCTCATTTTCACTTTATGTCACCAAGGATTGGAAATTTCATTTTTAATTTGGAATTCGTGTATATAAATTATTGCTAAGCTATTGCATTTTACTGTAACCGACATCCAACCTAAGGGTTAATATCTCATGTTGTTCTCTCTCTTCCTCTCTCTAGAAGGACCCTTCATCCCAGACTGCAAATAACAATTCAGATGAGGAAGACTCAGGTGCAGGAGATTGTGTTGAAGCAGTGGATGTAGACCTGAACCTGGTTTCAAATATACTGGAATCCTACAGCTCCCAAGCTGGCCTGGCAGGACCTGCTTCCAACCTGTTACACAGCATGGGTGTGCGACTCCCTGACAATGCTGATCACAACCCCCAAGGAAAGCCAGTGAAGAGTTAGCGTGCACATCAGCTGAATCATCAATAAATTCTCACTGACTAGACCGTGAGTCAAGTGTGCTATTTCTACTCGGCTGTTCATGAGAATGTCTGCCTTAGCTGGGCGGTGGCGCACGCCTTCAATCCCAGCGCTCTGGAGGCTGAGGCTGGTGGATCTCTGCAAGTTTGAGGCCAGCCTGATGTACAGAGCAAGTTCCAGGAAGGCTCCAAAGCTACACAGAGAAACCCTGTCTCAAACAAACAAACAAAAAACAATAAAAAAAAAAAAATCTTCCTTGCAGGTTCCAGAGCCCCAGTACCACTCCACAAGTCCTGTGGCCTCATGAGCTTGTTTTGTTTGCTTAAAATTTCCCTAGACATGGTCTCCCTTGTAGCTTAGTAAAACATGATGCACCCTTGATGTAACTCTGAATATTTAGTTTCTCTCTTAGGTATGTTCCTCCTCAGTCAGAATTCTAATTTGGCAAAATCCCATTTCATTCACTTTTTAATGAGATATAAAGTGCTAAAATTTAAAATGTTCATTCTGTGACATTTTGCACACGTTCCTAATTCAAGATAACTTATTTTTTAATTAACTAATTAAAAGCATCCTACAGACTGGGTGTCCCCGAGGCATTGTGTACCTGGTATAGTGCCAGCTTTTGTTTAGCCCGCACTGCCTCCTTTGTCCCCTCTCCCACTCACAGGGCTCTGCTTCACACAGAGATGGTTCTCTTTGTCCCTCCATTGCCCTCATCCCCTCCCCATCAGTTCCCTTCTGTTTCCATGTTGCATTTACGTTTAGTTTACTGATGCAATCTCATGTAGCCAGGGTGGCCTCACATTGTCTATGTACCTGAGACTTGTCTGGACACATGAAAGGTTTTTCATTTGAGAATTAGTGTCCATTTTGTTGACAATCCCTTGATCCTTCTGTTTCTTTTGTTGTTTGTTTGTTTTCTGTTTTTGAGCCTTCTGTTTCTATAGCCCAAGTGCTAGAATTAAAAGTGTGGGCCATCACACCCAACTTTCCTTTAGTCTTGCTGTACACAATTACTATATATTGTCCTGAGAAGGTCTAATGCTGGGGGCTGGAGAAATGGCTCAGTGATTTAGAGCACTTGCTCTTCCTGCAGAGGACCCACAGTCTCAGCATTCACAGCCACCTATAACTCCAGTTCCAGAATGTTTTGATGCCCTCTTCTGGCATCTGTGGGCACTGCATGCATGTGGTATACATATATACATACATAAAGACAAAACATACACATAAAATATA